GTGAGGGGCTGCATCTGCAATGCCTCGAGGTGCAGCTGAGAGCCATCCCCTTCCTGATGAGTCTGGAGAGGGAGGGAGAAAAAGCCAACCTCGGCCCTTCCTGGAATCGGCGGCTTGCTTGTGTGGAGATGATCAGGCAGGACAGGCTGTCGGAAAAGCAAAGCAAGAGACCGCCACCCACTCCTACTCTGTGCTGTTTACCTGGCTGGGGGTCAGGAGAGGAGAGAAACCCACTCCCACCCAGCAAGTGGGGTCAATACCTTTGTCTCTCTTTCCGCATCCCCCACCCCCACCCCCAGCCCATCCAAGGCCATCCCACAGACTGCCCTGCCGCCCAAACAACCAAACCACATACTCGGCCAAAAAAGTGGAGGGTAGACGTGAGGGCACACACCTGACACCCGTCTCCCACTCTGGCTTGGGTCTTGGCATCAGCTGGTTTCCACGCCAGCCTCTGTTCCCCAGGGACTGATTGCTTGATCATCACCACACACTACAGGGCACACCCGGGGGAGGGAATTATCAAATGAGAAGCCCTTGAGTCCAGCAGAGGAAACGGTGGGCAGACACGGGTGTCAGGAGTGAGCCTGTGTGTCCACCCTCTGCGTTCTTTCTCCAATTTCTTTATCAAGGTCTAGACCGTGAGCTAAATGTACACGTAGAAGAAAACTTCTTCATTCTGAGAGCATGGCCTTCCTACGTTTTGGTGTTAAAAAGTCATGTTTTTTTCATAAGTGAAAGTCATAATAAATTATAATTTTTAAAAGTGAGCAACCTTATGTCAGTCCCTGGAAAATGTTTCAAAAAATATTTAACATGAGCCCTGGTCAGGTGGCTCAATAGGTGGGAGCGTTGACCCGGACACCAAAAGGTTGTAGGTTGGACATTCCCGTCAGGGCACATACCTAGGTTTCAGGTTCAATCCCCAGTTAGGGAGTGTCCGGGAAGCAACTGATTGATCGTCGTTTCTCTCTCTTTCTCTGCCTCCCTTCCTTTCTCTAAAATCAATAAACATATCCTCGTGTGAGGATTAAGATAATAATAGTAAATATATATATAAATTTAACGTGAAATCCCCAAATCTGATAAGCACTGATTTAAACCTTGGTCACCCAGGCGGCTGGGCCAGCGCAGGCGTCTGCATTCAGGCACCTGACCTGGAGCAATCCAGCATCCTTTCACGTGTGGCAGGAACTGGACGAAACAAACTCTCCCTGACACAGTGGGATCTAGGATAAAATAAATCTTATCTTCCATTGGTGGCCTTGTTACACCACAGAAACGGAAGAGAAAAATTCAACATGCATTTTGGCAGCGACACGACCTTGGCCACATACTCCATTTGTGAGAGTTACGTGTGCAAAGCTGCCGAAACCGTTCTCTATGGCTCAAGCTCTGCTGCTTTCTGTTTGGGTTCAACTCAATCACATTGAGCAAATATGCACGTGGATACCGACTGGACACACGCAGCAGGAGGGGCCGTGGGAACACTCAGAGGGACCAGAGGTGGCTGCTGCCTTCCCAGAAGTTACAATCCAGTCAAAAGACAGGGCAAGCAAATGACTGATAAGCAAGAAGATGGCGATGACTCAGTCTCTGGGGTTGGGGACAGGGAGAAAGGAGACAGTTCAGAGGCGGCAGAGATCGCCGTTGGGAAACAGCAACTGGCACCAGTAAGTGCTCAATAAGTGTTTGAGGATCTAATCAAGTAAGTATTGAGGCAGTGCATGTTCCAGTTAAAACAAAGAGTTACTAAGCACATGCTTCTCTTAGGCTGAAAGCATTTGGTGAAAGCTCTAAGGGATGCTTTCCCACATTTTAATTCAGTGGCTGCAGTACTTACTTTTCAGCACAAGAGGGAGCTGCTGCCCAGTTTATTTGACCAAAAGTAGAATTTCTTTAGGTTTGTCCATTTCTTCCCGAATTAAGTGTAGTATGTTGGGCCTTTTAACCACCTTCCCTCCAAATAGCCCACCAAACAAAGACATACTATCAAAACGATCATCACTGGTGCATTATGTCTAAATGGAATCCATGGTGCATTATTTTCTAAAAGGAATTACATGATTAATAGGGGGTGAGGGGGAGGTAACATTTAAAATGTTTTCTAAATGGATATCCTAGACCAGACTGGAGGGTTCTTCAGAGCCCTCAGTGAACTCAGGGTTCCTAGTAATGGAAGCTCTACTTATAAAAAATGCTTCAGAGCTTCATGTATGGGCAACACATCTGAGATGACAGCCCTAACACAGTGCCCGGGGTTTCATGAGGGTCACAGTCTAGCTGAGATGTTTGTTGGCTGAGTCCAGGCCTTCCAACTCGGGATGGGCAACTTCTTTTATGACGTGTTGCAAATAATGGACTAGGAAGTAGCCAAAATTCAGGTGTGTCTTTTAAATGTACTATTTCATTACTTACGGTTCCTGTTGTGACAGTCCCAGCTTTCTGCCATCGGCAGTGGCCAGACTCTCCCAAGTCTGAATGCCCTGTGTGTGTGTCACCTTCTACCTGTGCTGTTGTTCATTCTGCTCACTTCTAGGGACGCAGACCAGGCCTTCTGGATTTCTGTGTCACCCATAGAGCCCAGCCTCGGGCCAGCAGTGGACAAGTCCTTCATGTTTAGAAAAAATAATACCCCAGGGTGGCTGATAAATATGGGGAGGAAGAAAACAGGCTTTCATGCTTAAGGGTTCTATGTTTGCTTGTGTTTGGTTGGTTGGTGTTAAATCCTAATGCTCTGGTCGAGAGGGAGAAGGAGTGGTGAGGGGCACGGCTGAGGGAGCCTTGGGTTCAAATCCCTTCTCTGCCCCTTCTAGCTGTGTGGTCTTGGGCAAGATTTCGGTCCTTGAAGAAACTCAGCTCAGTTTCTTCATCAGTAACAGGATAATGATGCTGATAAAACTTACCATGTTGGATTTATTATTTATAAAGTACTCAAAACAATATCTGAGACATGGTCAATACCATCAGTGATTATAAAGTAGAATAATTATATTTAGTGTGATATAGTCAATGTACTTTGATTCATTTAAAACTAAACAAAGCTTTAAGGAAATATAACTCAGATGGGCTGATGGACCTGTACTGGCATTCTATAGTGATGATGGGTACATTGCCTCTGACTTTATTAACAACCACCAAGCCAGGCCGGCATGGCTCAGTGGCTGAGTGATTCCCCATCAGGGCACATGCCTGGGTTTCAGGCTTGATCCCCAGTGGGGGGCATGCTGAAGGCAGCCAATCAATGATTCTCTCTCATCATTGATGTTTCTGTCTCCCTCTCTCTTCCTCTCTGAAATCAATATATATATATATATATATATTTTAATGTATGGAGAAAAAATTCAGCAAATGTCTGTGGACACTATAGGTACTCAACCCTCTCCTGGGTTTGGTGGAGGATTGAAAGGTTTAGGGCGCGACCTTTGCCTGGAGGGTTTATCGGAGGAGCACTGCAGAGCGCAGGCCGCATCCTCTGGAGAAGCCGGCACCATCACATGTTTTACTCTGGGACTCAGAAGGTTAAGTAACTTGCCCAGGCCCCACAGGAAGTACAGGTAGCAAGACCCCGACTTCCTTTTTCAGGTAGGGACCATCCCTTTGAAGACAGAAGATGGACATCCGCAAAGTAACGCGCGTGAAGCAGGCGTCAGGGAGCTCGCCAGGTCCAAAGGTGTGATGAGGCAGAAAAGGGCCGGGCCATGGGCACTGGTGCGGAGGGTTTCCTGGAGGCGAGGCCTTTGCCGATGGATGATAAGGTTTGAGCGATGCAGGGAGTAGCTGTCTTTAGAAGTGAGTGAGTTGCGCACAGACGTGCTTTCCCTCGCAGGACGCGTGCTCTCGGCCGTAGAGCCTGGGGTGGGCCTATGAGCAAGCGCAGGTGTGTAAGGAGCTCCTGGCACAGCTGAGGCCGTGGGCATTCTGACCGGCTGTACCAGGGTGGGATGGTAATCAGAGGCTGCAGCGACTCCCGGGACTGCTTACCCTGCCTGGCCACTCACTCACTATCTCCTCATTCCTTCAGCACATTCTCCAGCACCTACTCATACCTAGAATATCAACACAAAGGGAAAACAAGCTCTGTCCTTGGGGAGATGCTAAGTCGGGAGTTCAAGTCAGACAGGGACACAAGAAAATACTGTAAAGCGATAAGAGGGTAGAGCAGAAGGCTACAGCAAGGAGGATGGAAACACAGGCTTAAAACACTACGTTACGGTGATGCTCAAAAAATAAAGATTGTTCAAGAAATTGATTTTTCTCGCTAAAAATTAAACTCCTACTAAAAGCACCTTAAGCAGGGCCTTCCCTGGCTGATGGAGAGGGGGGAGGGATTTGGGGAAGAGCTGCCCCAAGGGCTGGGAAGAGACAGGGAGACCCCCACTCTGCTCCCTGCTCTCCCCTGATTGTAGACCCCTGAGCATGCCGGCAGGTGGGCCACTGGCTCAAAAGTGGTTTAAACTTGGGGTAGAGTTTCCCTGTTCTAGTCTTCCCGCTGACTTTCTGAGGGAAATGTGTGTGTGTGTGTGGGGGGGGTGCTCGGGGCTCGGTTCTAGGAGGGAGCTAGGCCCCTAAGGGATGTTTGTGGAGAGGGGAGAGGGAGGGAGGGAGGGAGAGAGGGAGAAAGAGAGGGAGAGAGGGAGGGAGAGGGAGGGAGGGAGGGAGGGAGAGAGGGAGGGAGGGAGAGAAGGAGAGAGGGAGAGAGGGAAGGAGAGAGGAGAGAGGGAGGGAGAGAGGGAGGGAGGAGAGAGGGAGGGAGAGAAGGAGAGAGGGAGGGAGAGGGAGGGAGAGAGGGAGGGAGAGAGAGGGAGGGAGAGAGGGAGGGAGAGAGGAGAAGGTAGAGAGGGAGGGAGAGAAGGAGAGAGGGAGGGAGGAGGGAGGGAGGGAGAGAGAGAAAGGAGCACTCCTCAAGGGGAACCTATTTTCTCTAGCAGACCCCGTTTTCAGCCAATCCTCACCCGGGGACCAATTTTAAGGATGAGCACAGGAGCAGTTTATGATTTAAACAACAACAACACTTTTTATTGTGGTAAAACATTCATAGCACAACATGGATCACTTTAGGCGTCTTTCAGTATACAATTCAGTGGGATTAAGTACATTCGTGAGGTTGTGCAACCCTCACCACTGTCCATTTCCGGAACTTTTTCATCATCCTAAACCGGAACTCTATCCATTAAGCAGTAACTCGCCCCTTCCTCTAACCCTGGGAACCACTCTCCTACTTTCTATCTCCATGAACTTGCCTACCCTAGGTACCTCATGTACGTGGAATCATACAATAATTGTTCTTTTGTGCCTGGTGCATTCGTTTACTATGTTTTCATGGTTGATCCATGTTATATATCAGAATTGTATTGCTCTTTAAGGCTGAATACTATTCCATGGCATGTATAGACTACATTTTGCTTATCCACTGATGGACCCTTGGGTTGTTTCCACCTTTTGGCTGCTGTGAATAATGCTACATGAACACTTGGCATACAAGTATCTGCTCAAGTCCCTGCTCTCAATTCTTTTGGGAGTGGAATCGCTGGAGCATATGATGATTCTATGTTTAGTTTTTTGAGGAGCCACCAAACTGTTTTCCCTTTAGTTTATTCAAAGATGAAGGCACTCAGTCCTGCCCTGGGTGTGTGGGAGGGGCCCCGGCGGAGAAGTAGACAGACCTGCGGGTTCAGTCAGGCCACCCACAGTGCAGTTCCCTGCTCTACCCGGCACTGATGTGGGGCAGGTGTGATCCAAGGCCCAGGCTGCACATTTTCTAGTCCTGCGTGAATTACAGTGGCTAGGACGTCGCTAAAGGATATTCTCCATGGAATAAGGGGTAGGAAGGAAGGAGGAAGTTCCATTGGGGAAGGCGGAAAGATGGTGGACACTGACACTGAAGCGCTCAAGACACTGACCAGAGTGACAGAATGGCCTAGGTCAGCGGTTCTCAACCTGTGGGTCGCGACCCCTTTGGCGGTTGAACGACCCTTTCACAGGGGTCGCCTAAGACCATCCTGCATATCAGATATTTACATTATGATTCATAACAGTAGCAACATTACAGTGATGAAGTAGCAACGAAAATAATTTTATGGTTGGGTCACAACATGAGGAACTGTATTTAAAGGGCCGGAAGGTTGAGAACCACTGGTTTAGGCAATGAACTTAACCTCCCTCAGGTTCAGTTTCCTCGTCTGTATGAAAGTCATGAGGTTGAAAGAAATCTTGTCTGTGAGGTGATTCCCTCGTGCCTGGGAATCAGGACGTGTTCCCTCAAACCCCGAGCATCAAACCCAGATGCTGCCTTAGACTAGGAAACGCTTTCCTTGGCCACCAGTTGCAGACATGGACTTTATCACCGGGGGCTTGATGCAATTTGCATTTTGGCAGCCTTTCTACTGCCTCCTTTCTCTCTAGACCCAGTGCTTTACCTTCCTGGGACTGGTAGGTGGGGCTTTCCCACTAGGCACAAAACTGGCTTTTAAGCCAAGGATACATTCTTTTCTTAAATCAATAAAAATAGAAAAACAAGCCAACAGAAAACCTCAGCTATTCTGGGCAAAACTTCCAGACAACACTGGGGGTGGAAACTTACTGTAGAGATCCAGTTTGATTTACTGAAAGGGGTTCACTCTCCAGGCCGACAGAGATTGAAGGGAGAAGCAAGGTGACAACACTTTGAGGCCACAACCTTATAAATGTAAATCATTATGGTTAATCATGCAAACAGAAAGTTAAATGTTTGATCAGTGAGCTTATATCCAAGTGGACACGTCTTCCTGTTTGCCCACCTTTCTCTGCTCTGCCCGGTACTGGGGCCTGGTGCTCAGCTCAGCTTTCTGCTCATCCTTGCTGATTTAATTCAATGAGCCGACCTGCAAACACAGCCAGGGTTCCGATGATACAGACGAGCATGAAGACTCCAAGGAGAATGTGGTCCATCACCATTGCAACATACTTCCATTCCTCAGCCGCCTGGGAGGGAGGAAAAGGTTAGAATGACCTTAAGGTGGTCATTCGGCCCACAGTGCAGGTTACGCATCTTTTACAGCCATTTACCTTGTAGGTCGCAAAGCCCTCAGCATCCTTCGGCTGGCATTGCGATCTTCCTATGTTGAAAGGTTACTCAAAATGCTGACTCACTGAGGTGGCCAAGAGGCGGTCACCAGGCTTACCTTAGGTCAGTAGCTGCCTCTGAAACCCCACCCACCCACCTGCACTCGAGCATTTGATTCTTTAAACCCAGAGGCGTGGGATTCAAGCCACAGAGCTTACGTTGTTGGACTCCTGGTCTGACTTCATGGTCTCTGCGATGTACTTGATGCCCTCGATGGCACTTTTCACCTCGGGGTGCTTGATCAGGGGAGAGTGGAAGGCGGGGGGTGGAGGCCCCGGCTTCCCAGAAATGTCCGAAATGTCAATGTCTTCGGTGAAGATCTTTTTGTCTTGTTTTTCTCTGGACGGCCTTTTCATTGTGGAGAAGAACATGATATTTGGGATGGTGTCGATAAAAACCTACCATTGGAAAAGAAATCAATTTATGAGAATAATGGCCAGCAAGGCAAGCGTCAGACTCGGACTTTGGATTAGCAACGTAACTTTAGGCAAGTCATTCGGCTTCTCTGGGCCTCCGCCTCTTTGTCCTTAAAACAAAGGACTTTACTCAATTTTCTCAAAGATTCCTTCATACTAGTACAGTGGTTCCCAAACTTATTTGGCCTACCGCCCCCTTTCCAGAAAAAATATTACTCAGTGCCCCCTGGAAATTAATTTTTTAAAAAATTTTAATAGCAATTAAACAGAAAGATATATGCCCCCAAATGCACCTGTGGCCATCACCGCCCCCCCCTGGATCGCTGCAGCGCCCACCAGGGGGCGGTAGCGCCCACTTTGGGAATCACTGTACTAGTACACACATAGCCTGAGGCCTGTGGAATTACAGTGGTTAACAGTGCCGATTCTGTCATGTGAGCATTTCGCCACTGGAGGGCGCCTGTATGCAGCTGTTGAACTCGCGAGAAACCAGTGATGCTTAGCTTCTGGACCCCCTGCAGGTACCTGCTTCTTTCAAGATCATATGGTTAAAGAAAAGGTCTCTCAGGATAAAAATATAGCCCTGACTGGTTTGGCTCAGTGGATAGAGCGTCGGCCTGAGGACTGAGGGGTCCCAGGTTTGATTCCAGTCAGGGGCATGTACCTTGGTTGCGGGCACATCCCCAGTGGTGGGTGTGCAGGAGGCAGCTGATTGATGTTTTTGACTCTCTATCCCTCTCCCTTTCTCTCTGTAAAAAGAATCAATGAAATATATATTTTATATATATATAGCTCTGGCCCCACAAAACAGCTAAACTATTTTCTTTCATTTCTTGTTTCTGAAAAAATGCAAGACAGGTATTGCCAGAAGTCACTTAACATGTTAAGCGCCCAGCCTGTTTTGTCTTCCAGACAGAAAGACAAAAAAGGGACCATTAATACAAACAGAGACCATTTCTTCTCAAAAGAATACATTGTGAGCAGTGGTTTCTGTCAATTCATGACAAATATTTTTAATTTTACACAAAAGATCCTGGCCATTTGTGTGTCTGTGAAGTTTTATATAAAAAACAACAACACTGACATTTGAAACGGGCACACATTTTATATTTCAAAAATGTAAAGACTTGAGACCAAGTTCCCCATTAGAACTCACTGTTGACCATCTCTCATCAAGCCTCCCCTCCATCTCTAGCCCTATTCTCTGCAGATGATCCCACCAGCAAAAAATAAGCTACCTCTTCACGAACCACAAGCCATACAAACAGAAACCGCGAGAATTTCCCAGCATTTGAATGAAAAGGACAGTGATTTATTTATCGTCGCTAATTAAAGAGGTTCTTAAAGCTTGAATTAGAGGTGAGCTCTGTTAATTCTGGTTTTCTTCTTTCTCCGAGGAAGCTATGTGGGTTATTTATCTCTAGAAAGAGGCCCAAGAATGTTCCTTTCAAAAATGCCTTACAGCCCAGAAAGGACTTTCAGCTCTGAGTACCCACAAGGGTGAGCGGAATTCCGCTGGCCACGGGGACAAGCGGGGGCAGAAGCCTTGTAGATGCCCTCGAGGGGACGGCGGGCCTGTGCGGAGCTTGCAGGGGCCTCGCTCACTCACCTTCCGCACCCAGTCGGGCATGACGTGGGTGCTGGGGGAGCGGTGGTGCGTGTTGATGACGATGACGGTGATGATGATGGATGCGATGACGAACACCATGGTGAAGAGCATGTATTTCCCGATCAAGGGCACCGCGCTGGAGGTGGAGGGGATCAGCTCCACGATGACCAGCAGGAACACGGTGAGGGACAGCAGCACAGAGATGCTCAGGGTCATCTTCTCTCCTGGACAAAATGGAGACAAAACACAACCGCCCACCTGTTACGGCCTGAACTGTTGGTCCTCTCAAATTTATATGTTGAAGCCCTAAGCCTCAGCACGCAGTGACTGTTTGGAGATGGGGCCTTTGAGGAGGTAATTAAATTAAAACTAGTGACCCGGTGCACAGATTTGTGCACATTGAAAGGAAATTAATTAGAAGGTGGTTGGTGGAGTGGGACTGGACAAGACGGGCCAGACATGCCCTGGAACCAACCTCCCATGGTCCCTCCCCAGCCAACCGCACCTGGGGTGGCACTGCTCAAAGGGCGTCTGGAGAGTGAGCAGGGTCCCATAGCAGGTGGGGTCCCTTGGGCTGGCCTGCCAGGATTGGGCCATAACCAGCATAACCAGCTCTCCGACATCCCCTGAAGGGTCCCCGAGTGCGAGAAGGCACTCTGCAAAGTTGCTGTCGTACAGGGTGTGGAATGCAAACACAACTGTGCAGTAAACCAGACTCGGGGCCAGCAGTGCCCCAGCAACAACATAACTCGCAGCCGAAGGTGGAATCGTGTAGCCCTGCGAGGAATCGGGCTCCCTCCTCTCTGGTTTTGGGTGTGTCACCTGAGAACCACCGCTGCCAAGTCACTGCAGCTCGGCAGCTCCTGCATTGAGCATCTGCTCCCTGGTGGTCAGTGCGCATCATAGCGACCGGTCAGATGGTCGGACCTTAGCATATTAGCCTTTTATATATATAGATGAGGTCTCAGGGTGGGTTCATCCAACTTGACTGGTGTCCTCCTAAGAGGGACACAGATACACACAGAGAGGAAAGCCCAGGTGAGGACACGAGGAGGAGACTGGCATCTGTGAGCCAAGGGGAGAGGCCCCAGAGGAAACCACCCCGGCTGATACCTTGATCTCGGACTTCCAGCTTCCAGAGCTGTGAGACCGGAAATGTCTGATTTTGAAGCTCCCCAGGCTGTGTCCTTTGCTCTGGCTGCTCTCTCAGACCAAGACCCCACTGAAACCCTCGGGGGAGAGGAATGTGACAGGCATTTCTCCAAGCATCATTCTGGGGACACATTTTGGGCAGAATCTCCTGTGAGACCTTGGCACCTTAACTCTGCAGACACTGGCACGTGGCAGGTGTTTTCATTAGAGGCCGCCAGGCAGGAAACAGCGGCTTCATCTCCTGCCCCAGAATCCCACTTCTTGGCGGAGCCCAGGGAGCCAAGGTACATGTTAGACCCAGTGGCAGTTTTCCCATATGTAGCAGAACGTCGTCAACCTCACAACACTGAACCGCGGCCTGGCCTGTTCGTTACCCTGCCGGTGGGTGGGCAGCCAGAGGCTCATGTATAATTTTCTCATGATGAGAGCAAGGGTAAGACCCAAACTGAGAAAATGAAATCAGTGATATCACACCATGGACTTTTGGCTAAAGAGGATGATTGTTTTGTTTTGTTTTTTCATATGCAGGGACCAGGGAGTGCTCTGCCCCGCCTTCTTTCTCCAGGCCCTACAATTTCAGGGTGAAGGATTCCCTGTTGCAGTCTTGCTTAGGCAAGAATGGCAAAGGAGAAGGGCGGGGCTGAAGGGCATCGGGATGCTTTTGTGGGGAGCCCCACCTTAGGTGCAGGGGAGAGCCGGTGGGAGGGGCTTCCCTTGGGCTGGTCTTGCTGTTTGTGTCCTGGGAAACCCTCATGGTATCCTGCTTTCCAGTATGGAGCTCCCCCCGGGCCCCGCCCACCCCACACAGGATGCTTCCAGATGCTAGGAGTGTATGCAGGATACAGATCAGGTGCGAACAAGAAGTTAGCAGTCTACCTTGTGAGTGGAATTCTACCTAGTGAGGAGGAAAGCCTTTAAAGGTGAAAAAGAAGACAGAATTATAAATATGAAAGACTGATCAACTTACATCCCATTTCTTGATTAATAATAGTGATAATAATAATAGTTAACACTCATCAAGCATCTCACTGTTAAAAAATACTTTCCAAGCATAAATCATGTATAGAAACTGTGAGTAGTTTTTATATTGCCTGACTATTGCTCTCTCTCTCTTTACTTTAAGTAGCTTCATTTGATTAGAAAGTTGAAGAAATATTTGTTTGTGATCATTTGTTTAAAACTAAGTACAATCACTAGAGCATAGGCTCTGTAGGGGCGAATTCTGCCTTCATATCCACTGTATTCCTGCTGCCTAACAGTTGTTCAACAAGTACTGTATGTTGAATGAATGAATGCATAGTCTTTTTTTTTTCCTTGTTGGAAAGTTGGATTTAGACTTTTGTGAGGTTTTTTTTCTTATAATTTTGATAAAATTTGACTTGTCATAAGTTTGAGGACTGTCTGTACCATCTGCCCCCCCCCACACACACATACACACTTGTCAGTCATAAATTCCTTATGATTAGGGACCTGCTGGCAGATGTATAGAGACCCCGTTCCTGTTTTCTGTCCATTGCTGTTGTTTGGTGAGATGTGCTGACTCAGTGGGAGGTAAGCTGTGTGGGCTGATAGGTGAGGAAGCACTGCCTCTTAGGGAGTACAATCTTGTGCACAAAGACACTGCCATCTGGGAAAAGATTGGCAAAAGCTATTTTCAAGTGGCCAGCAGTGGCAACAGAGGCAAGACCTGATTGGTCAGTGTAGAGCAAGTGACTGCCCAGGGGAAATGGCATGAGGTATGTCGGTGATCCACGCCTTACCCAGCACACAGTAGGTATTCAACAAGTAGGTATTGGTGATTATTTCCTGTAAGTAGACTGAGCTATGTATGTGCATCTTCAAGGTCTCGTTCAACTCTCTCACCACTATACATGGCCACTCGGTAAGCGTGCCCTCCAAGGGATGATGATTTGAGTCTGTCTGCCTGTATTTGTTTATTAGCCTATAATTATTTCTGGCTTTTCCTTAAACAGCAGCACAAGATCTGTTAGCATCAGCAGCCACAGCCATGGCAACGGCACCCACCTGAGTCTGTGGGCAGGTAGAACACCAGGCCGGTCAGGAAGGAGAAGAGCAGGCAGGGAATGATGACGTTGACGATGAAGTAGAGGGGCAGGCGCTGCATGACGAAGTGGTAGGTGATGTCCAGGTAGGGGGTGGAGGGGCAGCAGGCGTAGAACACCCAGTGCTTCCAGCCCCGGGACTCCTTGATCACCCACTCGCCGCTCTCCATGAAGTTGCTCAGGTCTGGCTTGTCGCTTTCCTGAGAAGATGAAATCAAACTGAAAACCCAGCCATGTCTCCCCGAGGAGGACCAGGGTTTCGCAATCACCTGCGACAAGGCCACAGATCCCAGCGCTGGTACATACCCAGGTGGGACTCTGGGTCACTTCCACTTTTAGGTCTTAGGTTCCTATCAAATGAGGGTGTTGGGGCTACTGGAATTCTCCATGTTGGTTATACATTCAAGTCACCTAGGAGCTTTAAAACATATTGGTGCCCTAGCCCCATCCCAGATGGATTAGACACATATTCTTGGGACTTCATTTTAGTGTCTAGGTGATTCTCACAGGCAGCACATCAAGAACTTAACCAACCAATTGAGAGCGATCCAACTAGATGGTCCCCCAGGCTCTCAATGGTGCCGAGAGCCTCTGATCATGAAGGGGCAGAGCCGAAGACCTGAATCATGCTTCGCCTAAACCCAACCTCAGGACGCAAGGTCACCACCTACCGGGTTGATGGCGACCACGGAGCCATCGTAGGTCCAGGTGCCCAGCTTCATGCTGCAGTTCTGCTCATCAAAGGGAAAGTGGGTAACGATGATCTCACAGTAGCTTTTGAAGATGGCTGGGGGTGTCCACGTGACATGGCCAGTGTAGTCCAGGAGCACTTTGGTGAACTTGACGATGGCAAAGTCACCATCTGCACTACGGTGGGACAAAAGGGGAGACAGCGGTTAATTACTCGGGCGTTAATTATAGAAGCTGTCTTTCAGGCAGTGTCGCTGCTTGTCTGTGTCAGTGTTTCCCAAATTTGACTGATAACAAGAATCTCTGGGGTGCATGTTAAAAGACAGATTCCTGAGCACCATCTAAGCATGAATCAGATTACCTGGGGAGGAATCTGGGAATCTAGTGTTAAAGAAATATCAGGTAACACTGACCCACTGCATCCCAGACCTTTTTCTTCTCAGTGCTTTCTAGTATTGGTAATCATCTCCATCTATCCCCCTCCCTCTATACTTTGAAAGTTAACTGGGGAAAACCTAGGAATCTATACATATGAAAGCCTAAGCAACTGAAAGACTGAATGATTGGTCGACTGGTTGCTATGATGCAGGAGCTGCCCCCTGGTGGTCAGTGCGCTCCCACAGCCAACCTCCCATGGCAGGCTCCCCCCCCCCCCCCCCCCCCCCGCAAATTGGCTCCAATGGAGGGGGTGGCCAACTTCCTATGGTCCCTCCCCCTGGCCAGCCAGCACCCCCATTGATCCTGATCATGGCCAGGCCCCCCACCCGTGAACCAATTCGTGAACCAGGCCTCTAGTTTTAAATAAGAACACATCCAGTGGCTCATTACTGTGACAAGCAGGCTAAGGAAGGTGTCCAATACCTTTGTGAGAACTATTTAGGACTCAGTGGGGTGGGATCACACACTCAGATGCTTCCAGAGCCTGGCAGGCGAGGAAGGAGGGAGGGGTGAGGCTGTGTGAAGGGATAGCCTCTCTTGCCTCTGATGAAGGTGCCACTCAGCTCTGCCTGTGCTGTCCCGAGGGGAGAAAAGGCCCAGTGTGGCCAGATATTTAGATTTTCCTTTAGAAGCTAAAAATCTACATTTTTAAACCCAAAGTTTCCATATTCTTGAATGTTGGAGTTTTCTAGAGATGCTAAAAGCCTGGGTTTTGATGTGATATTTTCAAATATTGGCACTAATTTCTTGTTCAAAAATATCCAACATGGTAGAGATTAGAAATAACAAAAGGCCACTTCTGCAGGCCTTGTTCTGTGAGCAGTCCGCTTGTCCTGCAAACAGCCTGTGTCCAGGCCTTGGCCAAGGGCAGGGCGCGGGTGTACACAGGTGGCTGGGTCTGCCTTGATGACTCTCAGGGACATGAATCAGGAGGATTTTCTTCCCATTGAGCTTTCCTCGGGATGGAGGTGGGCTCTCTCCAGAGAACTGCGCTCTGGGGCCTTCCACGGAGCAGAGGCCACAGGACCTCCCAAGTCTCTCCCTCTCAGCCGGGGCGACAGGGCTCTCCCCCCAACAGGTGCCCCTGAACAAGCTTGTGAACAGGACCAGAGGGGTTCATCACCTCGCTCTCATTCTTACTGGAAGAGAAACTTAACCAGCACAAGACACTTTGCCCAATGAGCATACTTGTCCGAAAAGTTCACACAAATGATTGGATAATCTGGATCAAGCTCGAATCCCAGTTATAACTGGAAAATATGCAGGGGGAACATCAAAGTAGGGGTGGTCGGCCATACAGGGTATCATTTCCACTCACTAGCCGTGGCCACCTTTCCTGGTAAGTGTGCAGCACACACAGCCTCTCGCCCCAAACATGCTGTGGAATCAGGTGCAAATCCTCCAGGCCAGTGCTGTGTGCTCTGCCTGGGACGGATGCACTTTGAATGCACATTCCCTGGCCAATGAGAGTGTGATAATGAGCATGTCGTGAAAGCAGAGTGCCTTGAATCACATTTAATTTCATGGCATGTGGTCTGTCACAGAGCCTATGGGTGGGCCACATGCTCTCCCTGGGCCATCAGCTGCATGGCATCTTGGGATGCCACGAGGGTATGACGAGCAACAGCTTCAGGAGGTCCAGACCGATTGGTAGGAAGGACATTTAATTCCAAGGAACTCAATTATAGGAGGTTTGGGTCCCTTGGATAGTTGCCACGCACCCTGCAGGAGCTCTCAGGGATGAAATGTCCCTCACCCACAGCCCTGATTCAATTTGATTCGGATAATTGTTTCTCTTCATAACATGAGACGCCATATGGCCCCTAGCATGTCAGCTTGGCTCTGGGTTCCTGACGCACACCGAGAGGTGGCCTTCTGTTAGGGCATTGGCTCCCCTCCCCGGGAATGCCCCTCCCTGCCCAGCCGTCTGTCTCGCTTACTTGTTATAGAGAACCAAGTCTGGGTGCCAGATCTTTTCGGAGGGAATGTGAATCTTTTTCACGCCACCATAGTCGTCTGGATTCCATTTTAGGTTGTAATCCACCCATTGCTAGAAATGAAAACTTTTCGCTGATTAGAAAGCTAAACACCTTTTTAAAACAATCTAGGGTTATCAAGAGCTCTGGTGGGCATGATCATTCAGATAGCGACAGAAACTGTGCTATGGTAAGAAAGGTTTGACTCAGAATTCAGCCTTCACTTCAGCTAACACCAGCTAACACTTGCACTGATTGGCTACATGCGGCCACAGTTATAAGCAGGTTACCGATAACGACGGTTCAGTCCTCACAAAAGTCCTGGGACGTAAGCGTGGTCATTGACCCCATTTTACAGATGGGAAAGCAGCGGTACCTCCAAGTCTCACCGCTAGGCGGTGGCAGATCTATCATGCCACATCTGCCCACCCCACGAAAGGAGAATGAACAATTTGAACATTTTCCTCAAGAAGGCAGCATCATTTTTTACAAGTATAATTCTTCCTATAGAATAAAAGTAATATATGCCCAATGAGGCAACATCGGATAACACAATGTTATGGATCAAATTACATCTCCCCCAAATTCAGTATTGAAGTCCTAACCCCTGGTACCTCAGAATATGACCTTATTAGGAGAGGGGGTCTTTACAGAGGTAATTACGTGAAAATGAGGTAACTAAGGTGAGCCCCACCCAATACGAGTGATGTCCTTTTAAGAAGGGCGGGTTTGGCCCTACCCGGTTTGACTCAGTGGCTAGAGCATTAGCCTGCGGACTGAAGGGTGCCGGGTTCAATTCCGGTCAAGGGCAGATGCCTGGGTTGCGGGCTTGAACTCCAGTAGGGGGCGTGCAGGAGGCAGCCAATCATGATTCCCTCTCAGCATTAATATTTCTCTCTCTCCCTCTCCCTTCCTCTCTGAAATCAATAAAAATCTATTTTTTTTAAAAAAAAAGCACAGGTCTGCCCGAAGAGGCAAAGGTGGCCAATTTAAAAACAAAAAGGGTGTGTTTGAAGATGGATACATATTCATGAAGAATGCCATGTGAACATGCAAACAGGCAACTGTAGGCAAAGGAGGGAGGGCTGAAGCAGAAGAAACCCATCCTATCGACACCTTGACTTTGGACTTTGGCTTCAAGAACTGCGAGGCAATGTATCTCTGTTGTTTGAGCCACCCAGTTTGTGGCTTTGTTATAGCGGCCCTAGCAAACTAATACACACAGAAAAAGCACAACACTAAAAACAAACACACACCAACACATATGATCCATAATCCCACCACCCCCAAAGTATTTACTTTTACACTTTGGTATATGCCCCTTTAGCCCAAATTGATTTACTCTGGGCCCAGGTTAAATTTCAGGTTGAAAACAAACAACACAAACGCAATTAGCTAGCTGAATTACCTGTTTGAGTCGAACATTGGTTGTCACGATCTGATTGACTTCATCCTGAAGAAAGACAAGACCCATGTTTAGGGGGCAGAAAGGGGAGCCGAGGGGAGGATGCTCGGGGAGAGGGGGTTGCCGTGGGAGCCCGGGCACTCCATCTCACCACGTTGATGAGCTGTATCAGCTGCAGGCCCACGGTGACCTCCACGACCTGGCGGTGGTCCTCCACTGGCCGCACCACTTTGTTATATTGTTCAAATAGCTTTGCCACCAGACGGGTCTCGTGCTCAGATCCCAGGACCAGGCCAGCTGAGGAAGCAAATGGCATGCACGCTGTCAGATTCTGCTCCCCGCCCCCACGGACACTGACACGAGCCCCTGAGGCGTGACCAGCGAACGGAAGGCACGCAGGACCCCTGGTGGAAGGGCTCCCACTTGCAGCTAGTGTTGCCTGCCGTCCTGTCCAGGCACAGCTGCTGGTGCGGTCCCTTCTCCGTGGGGCGTGCCAGATTAGCATGACACCTGCCCTTTGGACAGATGACATTCCTTAATCCAGCTTCTGGCTGCATCATCTTTGCTAGGAACATGTACACGTAGGAACAAGGGTCCCCACCAAAGCCAGTCTCAGTACTTCAGAGTCTGGTCCTGGCGTAATGAAATCTCGAACTGGCTGGCCTCAGATGCTAGGGATAGCCCACAGTCAATGCGGGGTCACACCCATTAGGATGGCCATAATCAGCAAAGGTGGAAATGACAAATGTTGGTCACACAGGGGAGAAACAGGAACCCTGAGATGTTGCGGATGAGGGTGTAAAACGGTGCAGTCACCGTGGAAAACATTTTGGTGGTTCCTCACACAAGTTATATGGAATTAGCATATGACATACCTGTTTCACTTCTGGGTATATTTCAAAAGAATTGTTTATACAAAGTCTTGTACCTGAATGTTCATAGCAGCATTATATACAATAGTTAAAAGATAGAAACAACCCAAATGTCCATCCCTAGGTAAGTGGGTGAACAAATTGTGGTTTAACCATTCAGTGGACTATTATTCAGCCAGAAAAAGAAATGAAGTATTGATGCATGCTATAACATGGGTTAACCTTGAAAACATTATGCCACATGAAAGAAATCAGACACAAAAGAGCACATATTGCATGATCCCATTTATAAGAAACTAGAGGCCTGATGCACAAAACTTGTGCAAGGGGCTTGGCCCTCGCAGCCCCGACTTCGTCCGGAAGGTCGTCCGGACGGTCATTCTGCTATTCGGGCATTTAGTCGATTTGCATATTACACTTCTATTATTATAGATGTCCAGGATAGACATTAGTGGTTACCAGGGCCTAGAGGGACAGGGGCCTGGGGAGAGACTGCTCATGGGTGCGGAGTTTCCTTTTGGGGTGAAAAAGTTCTGAAACTAGACAGTGGTGATGGTTGTGCAACATTTTAAATACTTAATGCCACTAAATAGTTCACTGTAAAGTGGTAATTTTATGTAATGTGTATTTTACTATGGTAAATTTTATATCATGTGTATTTTACCATAATTTAAAAAATACTGCTGGTAGGTACATCTCCCAGTTGAGTTGTTAAGACAGAGTGAAAACTGTGCTTTGCCAACCTGGGTTTGGGGCTCTGATTTGGAGCACGAGCGACTCCAAGGAATCTTTACTGCGTTTTCTTTCAGGATGAAAAGCAGTATCATCAGTACTCCTGGGGCTCAGAGCCCTTTTATGGCCAATGCTATGTGGTACTCTCCAGCTTCCGGGGAGGCAGGCAGGCAGGCTGGCAGAGAGTCAGAGGTTGGCCGACCTGTGCAAGGTCACGCGGCTGGGGCAGAGCGGGGATTAGCGCCTGTCACGCTGCCTGGTGCTCCTGCACTAACTCTTAACATCATGGGTGAGCTGTGGCTGCCTTGGAAACTGCTCAACATTATTCCAACGAGAAAAAGTGTTCCAGATTCCAGCAAATGCCTTGTGAAGGGTCTTTGTAACTCAAACCCAGGGTGGATGGGGGACTGCCTGTTCAGGGCTGGGAGAGGAAGCAGACACATGATCCATTTGCCTTGATTCATGTAACCAGAGCTCCCCTTTCCGCTGGTTATTGCTGAAACCCCCGTACCTTCTCCCTGGGCCAAGACAATTAAAAATTGAATGAAAGAGATGCTCTCTTTCCCCCAGTAGTGTTAGCCTACTCCCTCTAAGACAGGTTATTATTTTTTCCCCTGGATATTAAGTTTGAAGAGTTTGTCAACAAAATAAAATAAAAAGTAATTACTTTTTCTATGTTTAGTAATAAAAATAACTGACCTATTCAACTTATGTGCCACTCTCGGACACACTTTATACATACTCTTTGTATCCTCAGAATAGGGTGTGGTAGGTGCTGTTTTTGTCCTCACTTTACAGAAGGGGAAATTGAGGCACAGAGAGGTGAACACTTGCCCAGATTTCATAAGGGGTGGAGCAAGTGTTCAAACCCAGGGCCCATGCTCTCTGCCACTCTTTCTCAGCCAGTACTTTGATGCAGCTGGAAATAACCAATGTTGCTGACACATTTTTATCCCTCAAGAGTGCACTTCAATTAGTCCATGAGCTTCATTAAAGGCCCTGTCTTGTGTTGACTTATTAAGTCCTTATGGCAGCCCTACGAGCACATCTTTACCCTGTTTTACAAATGGGAAAACTGAGGTGCAGACAGCTGATCAGTGTTCGTGGTTCCCAGTTGGTTAGAGGCGGGACTGTGAATGGGGCAGCCTGACACTTACAGTGGTTCTCAACCTTCCTAATGCCGCGACCCTTTAATACAGTTCCTCATGTTGTGGTGACCCCCAACCATAAAATTATTTTCGTTGCTACTTCATAACTGTAATGTTGCTACTGTTATGAATCGTAATGTACATATCTGATATGCAGGATGTATTTTCATTGTTCGCGACCCACAGGTTGAGAACCGCTGCACTAGGACCTCGCGCTTTCCCTCCTCCCTAAAGGTACATGTGTCATTTGCATTCAGTGCAGCTTAAACTCTTCATTTTGACCTTCCTGGAGTGTCTGTGGGGAACCTCGGACCCAGCCTGCCTACTTCCCAGTTTTGCAAACCCCAGAGGGTCTATGCAGAGCTTTCACACGGCATCTCCCCAAACCTCCTGCATTCGAGGACTCTCCAAGAGCATGTTGTCCAGAGACTCAATGCTTGCAGTCACCCCGTTAAGCCCCTGGGACACAGTGATCCTCTGTCCTCCTTGCCTGTCTATCTCGGGCCCCACTCAGTGCACAGGGGGAGGGGACGGGCATGGCGACTGAGTGCCTTGGCCACCGAGTGCCTTGGCCACCGAGTGACGCTATTGCTTTGGCACTGCCCTGGGCTGCTTATTTTCAAGTGACGGTTTATTCCGGTTTGACAGGAAGAACATACTAAAAGCAACAGATAGAGCAGATGGCTGGCATTATGTAGCAGGAAAACTATGCAGGCCAACCCTATGGCCCACCAGGGAGAGGGCAGGACTGGAGACAGGACGCCTCAGCACGCCAGTTACACCCATTTCCTCCACTCCCACCGGCCAATCACAAGGCCCTTGCTCCTTCCTGAGTGAATTTCTCAGGAATTTCTGAGTCTCCATTTCTTAGATTAGGCTCATTAGCATTTGTCCTTCTTTCCTCCTTAAAACAGGGTAGAGTGTTAGAAAACTTGAGGTCAGAATCTATGATTCTGTTCCTGACTCCAACATGGTCTGGAGAATGGGACCAACTCCTCCTGAAGCCAATGAGTCACAGTAAATACTTTCCTTAAAAGGTAGGGTGCAAATCAGTAACCATACAGACACACAAATAAATAATGTCCCGTTTCAGCAAAATCATCCTAATTCAGACAGCAGTAACCTTAATTCATTCATCAAATATTTGTTGTACATTTACTGTGTGCAGAGCATTGTTAGGAGCTTTGAGATTATCAAAAGTGAATCAGACATAAATCCTGTCTTCCGACCCTCATGGTGATTGCCATTTGTCACTTACATAAATAACTGGACAAATTGGAAAGTAACATGCTATAAGAGAGGTGGCAATAACATAGTTGGGATTCTTGAGATGGAAGAGAGGAAAAGTTGTAATAAAAAAATGCTATATAGCTGGGCTGGTGTGGCTCAGTGGTCGAGCATCAACCCATAAGCCAGGAGGTCAAGGTTTGATTCCTGGTCAGGGCACATGCCCGGATTGCAGGCTGGATCCCCAGTGTGGGGCGTGCAAGAGGCAGCAGATCAATGATTTTCTCTCATCATTGATGTTTCTATCCATCTCTCCCTCTCCCTTTCTCTTCCTCTCTCTGAAATAAATAAAAACATATTTTTAAAAGGAAATCATTTTAAAAAAGCTATATAAATAGAACAGAGATCATTATGTATTAAGCTAACACAGGAAAATGTATCCCTGATATGATGAGAATTTTGCCCACAGAGAACTGATTCTAAATAGGGAAGCCCAACATGACTCCACTGTGTGTTTTGTATCATACTGGTCCAGTTTGAGTCTGTATGGCCACTGGGTTAGACAGGGAATCCTGTACGGTTACTAGTCACCGTGGGTAAGTAATGCTTATCTCAGCCTCGTGCCTAGGTATTTGGCCACCTTTGACATTTCAGGCTGTTTTCTGACTGTGTGCATAACCAACGCAGTCTGTAAGTGATCACATTCCAAGATTTATAAATTAAGTGACTTCGGGCAGATCAGTCCATGTCTTTCAGCCTCAGTGTCCCTAATAAAAAATCAAAGATGTTGGAATGCCTCATCCAGCTCTGCATTCACTCATGTGAATTGACACCAGCAAATTCTAGGATTGATCTAAATACATGTCACATGCCTTTTAAAGTAGCTAAGCATGCATCTTTGGAGGGTTTTGGTATCCTAAGAGATCTCCTAAGGATTTTTATACATAAGCATGTAACGTAAGAATTTTCACTGAGTGTAGTGTTTGCACACACACAGAGAGAAACACACACACACACACACACACACACACACACACACACACACACTACCGCCACCACCAGGCAGCTTTGGTTGGATCAAGTCCAAATCCCTCGGATGTAATGTCTCTGAATTTATTAGAGTTTTAGGCTGTTTCCCTCAACTCTGCCATTGAAAAACGTTCACAATAACGCTCTTCACTTCTCTTGCCCAGAGGCCTGTGTTGCCAGAGCAACATCAGAGAAGAGAAATCACAGCGCGTCAGCTGCCTGGCCTCTCGGTTGGGATGACGTCACCGGGAAGCTTTTCCGTGAAGCAATCAGCAAACCGCTAGCTTCCTCTACCGGAAGTTTGGGATTCAGGATAGCGTTTCAGCTGCTGTGGTGTGACACGTTCCAGAGTGGAATGAAGGTCAAGGGCTGTGCAAGGTTTCACGGTTTCATTTCAAACCCACCCCTACATAGAGTAATGTACTTCCAAAATAAAGTAGGCGAGAAAGCATTCGTATGAACTTTCTAACTTCAGAAGTTTAAAAAGTTACAAAATATTTCAGCTCATGGAGAGCATTTGATTACAATGATGAATGGGTTTCTCTCTCCGGCACCTGGAGCTGTCAATCAAGCCTCTTCAAGTTCAGAATTCTCCGGGAGCCAAGGGCTTGTTAACCTTATTGTCTGCGGCGGTAAGCCGTCACTCTAAGCCCCTGTGGCGGTTCAAGTCTGAGAGCAGCTCTGGGAAGGTGGAGGCGGCGGTGAATCTGGTCACAGGCGCGCGTGGGGGCCAGGCACCGACGGAGGGAGGGACGCTGTCCACTTTGTAGCCCTTGACCCAGCCGCACCCAGTTTAATGGATTAACACAAACTAAAAACCTTTATCCCCAAACCCAATCAAGTGGACACTGGTGAGAAACCGACAGCGGTCTGGGCTGCTGACGCCTGCCATGCTGTGCTCCCACCAAAGAAGCAAGGCTCTGGTTTGGGGGCTCTAGTGCGTCAGCCTCAGAGAAGAGCCCCCCAACACCGGCACTTACCTGAGCAGAGGCCGAGGAGCAGGAGGAGCGGCCGGGGCTCCATGAGTGTGGGTACTGGCCGGGCTGGTGGCGGCTGGCGACTGTGCTGCTTGCAGGAGTCCGGCTGGTGACTTGGCGGCTGGAGGGTCTGGCCGGCCCGCGGCTGCGGAGCTATTGTTTTACGCCACCTGTTTGGGCCGGGACAGCTGGGCTGGCAGAGCCTGGAGCCCAGGGCGTGGCCGAGGGCCTTACGCTGATATGGCAGAGCCTCACTTTACACAGTTGCTGTACCCTTGGCGAGGCGAGTGTGAACGGCATTGTGTTTGAAATGCACCATGAATCAGATCTTAATTTTAAAAAAAACAGCTTGCAGTAGGGAAAGACTTATTCTGAATGGTGAGCAGCCCTCTCCCTTTTGTGGACACCAGAGCCTCAGCTCTGCAGATTGATTTGTTAGGGTCACTGGTCTGAGCAGATACCAGCTGTGTGTCAGACCCGATCCTCCTAAGTCACAGGCGTCCTGTTCTGCACACAGGAAGCCCATTTGCTTTGGTTCTCGCGGGGCCGAGAGTGCCTGGGGCTCTGTGACAAAACGGATTTGAGGAGAGCGTGGTTGATACTAAATCTGCAGCTAGAGAGCCAAGGTTTGATTGGATTTGGGTTTTAACAAAGAAGGCTTCTCCCATAAAATTGGCTTCGCTGGCTTCCGGAGTGGCTGTCCCAGCCCCTCTGTGGCAGGCAGCGCCTACCCACCGTGGGCCGCCGTTAGCAGGAGGACTGCCCACCCCCACAGCCTGGCATTCAAGGAGCAGGAAGTAATGGCAAAGCGTCCTGCTGCTTAGGCTCTTGTTCCAGGTTCCTACGCCCTTCCATCCAGTCCTCTGCCCACTCTCACTCAGGGGAGCAAAGGGCAGATGGTTCAGCTTTTCAATTCCTTTGTTTAAAAAAAAATCCTGAAAGCCAGCAGTTAGTAATTGCTCAGCCTGAGAGGGATTTTTTACCAAAACAGGGAGGACGTCATTGTGTAAAGATGCCCTGCTTGCTCCTTCTCTTCTTCCTTCCCAAATTGAGTGGGTGAAGAAGGCCCCTCACCTCAAACCCAACTTCTTTTTTTTTATCATTATTTATTTTTATTTTTATTTTTTTTTATTTATTGCTTAAAGTATTACAAAGGGTATTACATATGTGTCCATTTTATCCCCCCGCCCTAGACAGTCCCCTAGCCTCCCCTGTCCCCCAGTGTCTTATGTCCATTGGTTATGCTTATATGCATGCATACAAGTCCTTTAGTTGATCTCTTACCCCCCTACCTCCTGCCCCCCAACCCTCCCCGGCCAACTTCTGACAAATCCCCCTTTTCAGTGAGTCCAAGGGCTGGGAGGTTAGAGGACAGAGCTGAAAGTTCACATTATTAATTTTCTGTTTAAAATTGTGGGAGATCAGCTAACTTTCCACTCAAAAAATTGGTTGTCTCCCTTCAACATAGCACAGCACTGTGACTGCCTAACCAGGAGCTATACCCTCCTCCCCCCCCCGCCCCAACCCAGCACGCCCGCCCCTGGCTCTAATGGACGCGTATGACTGAGTTCTAGAAAATAAAATGTGAGAAGACATTTTATGAGACTCAAACCTCCCCCCAGAGCTGTCCATGCTCTTCTCATCTCTGACTGCTGGGAGCAGACATGACCCCCAGGGCAACCTTGGAACCCATGTGTTGAAGGGGGCTTTTGACATCTAGAACTTGAGTGACTTCATGGAGGAGGGCACCCCATTGTGCCAGTTCAATTCCCAGTCAAGGGCACGTGTCTCTCTCACATTGATGTTGCTCTATCTCTGTGTTTCCTCCTCCCTCCCTCTCTCTAAAAGTCCATGGGTGGGGGGGCGGGGGGGGGGGGAGAATAAGCCCTAAGATATGTAGCACTGCAGAGGAAGGCAAGAAAATGGATGTTGGAGGCTGAAAAGATGAAGACCCATCTCTCTCTATAAAAGGCTAAGTGTCCATCCGTCTGACTGGTAGCTATGACACACACTGACCACCAGGGGACAGATGCTCAACACAGGAGCTGCCATGAGGTGTACTGGCCATTTAAAATAAACGGCACCACAGACCTGGATCTGACAAATCAACACTCGGCTTCCCCCAAGTGGGACACAGGTCCCGCCAACACCCCAGAGTGACACCCCAGCAAATCACAGCCAAGGCTGCCAAGACCCCATGGCGCAAAATGAGGCCCACAGCCCAGCCCAGCCCAGCCCGGAAATGGTAGCTGTGGGGACCGGGTAATGACGTCATGTAGCACACCCAGCTTCCTCTCCCTAGCAACTAGTCTCCTTGGAGTTTCTTTAGCCCAGGAACCCAACTTGCTTTATAGCCAGGTGCAAACATTTTACAGTTTAACCAAATGTTTGTGAATAATTTTCCCGTGCCTAATCTCATTTGATACTCACAGAAGTCCTGGAGTAGGTAGATGGAAGACTCGGTAGAATCCTATTTTCTTTTCATTCGCTGGAAAAAAGGAGATTATGAAGTTTAGAAACTTGACCCAATTGAAAAGAAGTAAGAAATGGTGGAACTTGAAAATGACTTCAGGTTTTGTCACTGCGCAGAATATAGTCAAACACTGCTGCAGTTAAATATTTTACCCTTTTTCTCCCTGCGTGATCTACAATAATAATCTGCTTCGTGTTGATATTTACTACTCTGTTGCTGACAATTACCTGAAAAGAAGTTGGAGTGCTTCACTGGGCTGAAAAAAGTTTAGCTACATCAGAAAGCAGGTCTAATTAAGCAAGTTTATTCTCTCTATGTAAAAGGCTAGGTTGACTCGCGCATGTGTGATATATATAAAGCTCTCGCTGACACCAATCACACACATGTGTTTCAATCTTTCATTGTCAGTCGTGAATTTGGTTGACACTTCTATTATAGAGGAAGGGTGGATAGCGATATTAAAATATTTCTTCTAATTAATTTCCTTTCAATGTGCAGGAACCGGTGAACCAGGACACTAGTGTTATATAATAGCAGATTACTTAATAAAATTGTTCCGTAGTTAGTTAGTGAGCAAAGTGTTACTGAGCCTGGGGCTCCAGGAGGAGAGGTTGGGAAATCCAAAGCTAGTACATGTTGATTCTTACTGGCTTTGTTTAGTGAGTCGGCACAAGTAAGAGTGAAGCTCAGGAAAGAGGTGGCTGGTTCAAGAGCAGAAATGAAAAGGAATAGGATGAGTCCAGAAGTCTGGAGCCTTCTGTTTTGAACCCCAAAGAGTGATGACAGCAAAAGGGCTTCTAGCAACGAAAGCCCATTAAGAACTCTCACTAAACAGATAGTTTCTCCCCGCAGCCAGGAGCAGGGCGGTACTTCACACTCAAGCCTGTGTTTCCCAGATGGCTTCAAGATGGTTGCCTTTCTGTTGAAGGAGCGCCATAGAGGTTACAATGCAAATGTTACCAAGCTCATAACTGGCACGTGGAATGACTGCAAATACTTTAGGAGCTGACTAAGTATTTGAAGGAATTGTATTGCCAAAGAGTTCATGAACCCAGACTACAAAAACTTCGGTTGTTCAAGCCTTAAAGCAGTTCTCGGGTACCGCAAACATGCATCTGCAGAAATCAGGCCACAGCCTCTGCACAGACTCCCAAGAGGGCACCCTCCCCGTTGCCACTTAGGTGTGGCCATGGAGGTGAATGGATAAGGAAGAGCCTCCCAGAGGGCAGAGCCAGGAGCCAAAGAGCAACAAGGGAGATCCTCCCAGAGAAAAATCAGGGTCTAATCGAGGCCCCACTGCAGCCCCTCTCAGGGTCCACCCACGCCCCCCTGGCTTTCACCTCTGCGCAGAGAACTCTGCTTCTGCCCACGCCTGCAGTCCTCTGCCTCGGGGATTGCTTTTCCCCTTCTGGCTGTAGGAGCACATGGGACAAGCTGGAAGTGCAGGAGAGTGACGCCCCCAGAAACAGCCTCAACCACCAGAGGAGGAAACGTGCCCCAGCTTCCTCACCCCCGTGATGGGGTACCTGAGGCACACTCTGTGCTGGACATGTGTGGGACTGAGTCCCTGCTGCCTGTGGTGGAAGTGACTGGACTCCCTCCCTTTATCAGCTTCCTTCTCCCCTCTGCCTTACGTTCCCCACCTGTCACCTCTCAAATAAACTCCGGACAGGGTCTGCTTCTGGGGGAACTCAAATCCAGACAGAATTTCTCCCATTGTCCCGACAGGGGATCTTCACAGTGGTGCAAACGGAGCTTTATTCTTATTCCTAGTGCCTTAACACTTCTCTCCTGGCAGTGAAAAGTAAACTAAAAAAATATTAAAACTTAGTCAGAAGCAAACCTATTTTTTTGTTTCATTTAAAAGTTTACTATTCGAGTAATTTAAATTTACTATAGAAAAATTAGAAAACAGATGAACAACAAAAAAAAGCATTACTCACTATCCTTCTACCTAGAAATATCCATGGTTAATAGGTTATTTTATATCCATTTAGACCCTTTCTATGTATATATGTACGTATATATGTTTTTCACAATCCCAAAGCACTGCTTCATGCTACTTGAAGTCAAAAGATTTCCTTTAATTTTTAGTTTTTTTGTGGATTACCACTGCTAGGGAAATGCTACTTTCAGGAGATTAATCTTTTCCCACTTTATTGAGGTAGAATCTTATATAATAAAGAGGTAATATGCAAATTGACCCTCATGCCCTTGTATCATCACAAGACAGCTGCCCCCACCTCGTCACAAGATGGCCAGCAGGGGAGGGCAGTTGGGGCAATCAGGCCAGCAGGGGAGCAGTTAGGTGTCAATCAGGCTGGCAGGGGAGTGGTTAGGGGGTGATTAGGCTGGCAGGCAGAAGCAGTTAGGGGCAATCAGGCAGGCAGGCAAGCGGTTAGGAGCCAGCAGTCCTGGATTGTGAGAGGGATGTCCAACTGCCGCAGGGATTGGGCCTAAACTGGCAGTCAGACATCCCCCGAGGGGTCTCAGATTGGAGAGGGTGCAGGCTGGGTTGAGGGACACCCCCCCCCCACTCCAGTGCACAAATTTCATGTACCAGGCCTCTAGTTGACAAATAAAATTGCAAGATATTTAAAGTATACAATGTGATGCTTTGATATATGCATGCATTGTGAAAGGATTCCCCCCATACATTCAGTTATTAAACATTTTTAGTTATTGAGCATTACTATGTGCCAAGCACAGTTCTCGGCATTTGGGATGCACCAGTAAACAGAAGAGACAACGATTTCTGTTCCTCAGGAAAAATGCATTCTAGTTGGAGAAAATAAATGAATATATTTACATATATACATACATACATATATATTTAATAAGGAAATTGGTATTTTATCAGGTGAAAAATACAGTGGAAAAAACAAAAAGTAGAGCAGGTGAGGGGGACCAGGACAGCTGGAGCAGGGCCGGCTT